TCTGCCTGTTTTTGTAGATGACATTTCCTTGGAACACAGCCATGTCTACTTATTTTCACACAATGTATGGCTGCTTATGCACTACAGTGGCAGACTTAAGTATTTCTAACAGAGGCCACGTTGCCTATAAATCACACTATATTTCCTGTCGGTCCCTTTAATTAGTTTGCTAAACTCTGAATCAGAGTATCACCAGTCGTACACATTTTTTTGAGGAAAATTCTTACAGTACTGGGATTATGGGCTGTATCAAAATGAAACAAGTCTCCTTGCAGAGTGTACTTCCTCAGTGTGTGTGTGTGGGGGGGTGTCACAGGGCACTACAGGACAGCTTGTGTCATTTAGTTTGTAGTTCTATGTCAAAAGAGGCCACGGAACACAGGCCTCTCCTCTCCTAAGTCAGGGCAATTTTGTCAGGATAAGAAGCCCATGGTATTCCCAAAGAATTTCCAAGCAACCAGTTAGAGAAACAAGGTGACTATGTTCTTCTTGACTGGTAAGCTGGACCATAGGCAACAGTTGACGTGATGGACATAATCAAGAATTTAGCATTCCCCTGCCCCACATATGATCTGAGCTTTAAACAACTTATTTATCTGAGCTGATAAATAAAATGTCAACTACCATTCCATGTGTAGTTTAAAACAGTGTCTAGTCACTAACATGAATTACATGCATATAATATACCGAGAAAATTAGAAGTGTTTTCCCTGCTTTTAATCCTTACAAAATGCTGAAACAGAGGGCGTTTTTACTCCTTCACAGAAAGGAGGGACATGAGGCTCAGAGTCTGAGTAACTTGCCAATGCCAAGGAGGGTTGGAAATCAAGGCCCACCCTAACATGCTGGAAATATTGCCTTTCTGTATAAAACAAAGGGCACATCCTATGCGAAACTTAAACTCTGAGGGGTGGACGGGACAGTAAAAGACAGCCAGGACAAGGTCCACTTGTTTTGTGATACAACAGAAGGAATGAATGTACCATGCAACAGTAATATAAATATTTCCAGAACCAAAACCTTCTTAAAAGGTTGTCAAAAACTCAGAATTTAAAAAGGGAGTTCTGTTTAAATTTTAAGTTCTGCTTAAAACTCAGAACATTTTAGGAACAAACAGGTTGTCTTTGAAATAAGTAGCTTTAACGTAACTTTAAACTTTTGTCTCGGTAACAAAAGAAACATCTTGTTAAACTGAATTTGTTCGACACTGTCATTTAACAACCGAAAAACAAAATGGGTAGTCTACATACCAGTTGCCACACTCCTTCCAAAACCAAATCAACTGATTAAATAATGCTTGAATTATTGCTAACATGCACTACTAAAGGTAAACATTTTGGGGCTTTATTTTATATTCTATGTAAAAATATATTTATTTTAAATTTGATCAATACAATTTTGCCTTTCTGTGTTCAAAACAAATTTCTGTTATCTTTTCCCAAACTGACATTTCAATCTTTACCAATGTGAAAACTATTTCTTTAGGACATAATAAATGTTAAGAAACTTAGGTGGTTAAGAAGCATTTTAAAAGTACAGAGTTGGTGCTATAATGCTATAGTTCATATTTTAAAAATTGATTGGTCTTAGATGCCAAGAAAAGAAAAGTATTCCCCATGGGGAAAACAGAGGAGAATATCTGGGCTTGAAATAGTCCAAACATTTCAGAAATACGAAACTCTCAAGCTTATGAAATGCTAAGGTCAGCTTTACGAAATATTCCTATTAATCTGTTTTTCTTTGGTGAAAACAGTTTGGGAAGAGTACTTATTGGAAGGGGACAAAGAGAACACTCTGAGTGATGACAGAGTTCTCTATCTTATTCTGAGTTCTGGTCACATCATAGTATACACACACAAAAATTCAGGAAATTGTACTTGCATAATTTATGCATTTTTATATGAAAATAATTTATTTGCTAAAATATACTGGAATGGTATCAAGTCAAATTGGTGCTAGACTTTTCCTGCAAGTCATCCTCTATACAGCTTGGGAAAGGTAGACACTGGATACATTCTGGAATGAGTGTTTGCTAGTCATTGTCATGGATGGATGATAACAGGTAAGCAGTGATGACCACTAGAATGTGGATGATCCACAGAGCTTAAATTGGAAGGTAATTATTAAATGAGATGGCTGGTAAGATGGGGTAAAGATAATGGAGTTTGGTCAAAAACTGAAGATTTGGAACAAGGAGAACAGGTACGGCATGGGTAGGTGGTTGAGTCTGAAAGGAACAAAGTCCTATCTCTTAAACCCAAGAAAAAAGGTAGGAGTATATCTTGAACATGCTAAAAATCTCCTAACAAATACCAAAGAAATAAAATTATTAACTGAGAGTTGGCATCCCCCTTCATCCTGTCTCTACCATTTCTATAAAAGGAATCTGGGGCTTCTCTGCCTGCTAAGTTGGTTCACTGAGAGAAACCTGTAAGTCTGTGGGGCTTTCCTTGCACGCAGCAGATGCCCTAACTCTGCAACATTCCTTTGATTTATGTAAATGCATAGAATAAAATTGTGTGTGTGATTTTTTTTTAATCTCTTTGAAACCTAAATGAAAAGTTTAGAATAGGCTTTGAGGTTTTCGGATAGACTTCAGGAAAGGCTAAGGCAGTGAGAGATTCTGTTTCAGTCAGCAGCCTCCATGGCAGCAGTTCAGCCCCAGCTCCCCACCCATCTGGAGCTGAGTGCATTCCCGAACCAGGGTTCTTCCTAGACCCACTCACTGCATCCCTAGTTGTGGTTCCAGGTGTCACCAATTTCTGAATCTCCCTGGGTGATTGTAATATGAAACCCAGTTTGGAATCATATCGCAGACTTTCTCTCTGCTACTCAAAGTGAGGCCCCCAGGTCACAACCATCAGCCTTTAGGAATGCAGAGACTCAGTTCCATCCTGACTCATCCAGCGACAGTAGACTAACCAATTCCATGTACACTGAAGGTGGAGAAGCACCCCTGTGCTTCCCTTTCCACAGCCCAAGCTATTTTGATTGAATGAAGACTCTGAAAGTAAATACTCCCTGAGATTTTTGCACATATATATGAGGTTTAAAAATACAATTTAGAGTAACAAGTGTACAGATACAGAGACATCTAATTTCATATATACAGAATCGATCAACATACATACACACATATCTATCTCTATTTATAGCATATCTATATATCTTGCCATATATATATATATATATAATATTTCTTAGTCATTAAAGCCAGATTAGTAGCACAATTTCTGTGTTTTATAGAAAATAAATAGCAATCTAAAACAGAAAGGGGAATGGTTGATTCATAGCATAAAGGCTCTCTGGGGTATTACATTCCTAATATCTGGGGTATCACAGCATAAAATACCTCTGGGGTATTACATTCCTGACATGTGTTCTCAGACTTAATGATGGAGCACATGTACCCTATTATGATTGTCTTCAAACATGCCAGAGAGCAGGTTTAAGTCCAGAATGTGGAAGTCTGCAATTTACTGGGTAATCCTGTTCACTCCTGAAAAGTTAGAAAGAGAACAGAAAGAACCTTTGAATTGACACAGAGAGAAAATTCAGCTCTGTCCTCTGGGAATTACCTGCCTGAAACAAAGCGACTCCACACCTCCTCTTCCCTAAGCAACACCTTGGATAAAGCTGAGACCGACACAGCACACATACACCAGAAAAGACTCAAGCAGTATTATCATTATTTTTTCCCAAATTTTACTGCAAACTTTAGCTTTCTATAATATTATCACAGGTAATATAAGAAACAGATGGAGTCTAGTGCTGCTTTTGCCTTAAGAATATTCATGAAGACTTGATTCATTAGTTCATTCAGGATCCCCATAGAAAGACTTCATGAAATGAATGAACAGATACGAGTTTGAAAGTTTTGCTTTGCTATAGAAAAGACTGCTTTTCTGTTTCTTTTTCTATTGATAAAAATCTTATAACTATTCAAATGGACTCCCAAGAGGCTTGAAAAAAATTAATAGCTTAACTATCTTGTTCATATGTAACACCTATGTGTTCATAATCTTTTTCATTGTCATTTCTATCTTTCACAGTTTACACTACGTTTGGTCTTCAGTCTTTCATTGTATTTATAAGTTGCCACATGTTTGTTATGGGGGATTTACACAGATATTAATATCAATCCTTTAGGGGAACAGAACAGCTTTTCAAAAAATTCCTCTCAGTTATCAGATTAAGTATTATAATCATCATTTCTTAGGAATCCTCTAAAATTTATAAATCTCTTCATCCTACCTCTAACTTGGGACCCTGCATTAAATTAATTACTAGGGTCTCATGAAGGTTGTGTTTACTCATTAAGAAAATACTAGCCAGTTGCACAAAGGGAGAACTAACGTAAAACTTCCAGTCTTCGGGAGCTTAGAAATAGACTACAGAGAGGTGATCAAAAATCCTTATGCCCAGACTGCATCCAAGAGCAAATGAATTAGGATCTCTGGGGTGAAGCCCAGACAGGGAGCTTTAAACCTCTCCCAGGTGACTCCAGTGAGCAGAGTAGGTAGAAAACCAGCACCCGGATGCAGTGCACATTGAATTCCATTAGGAATACAAACTCTCCAGGGAATCTTGGAACGTACAGATTCCAAATGAATAGGTCCAGCATGGGGCAGAGATTCTAACCTAACAAGGGGCTGGTGCTACTGGTCTACAGACCACACTCTGAATTGCAAGGTCTTAAAGTACAAACCAAGTTCACTTAATGGCTTCATTGTGGATTGCATATTCCAAGGAAAATCTGATCACCACTCTGTTCTAGGGACAGTACTAGATTGAGTTTGACAATCTGGATTCTGGTCCAGGTTTTGTTATTGGCAACTATGCAAACATTGTCAAATCTTTTTTTTTTCTTTTTTGATATCAGGAATTGAACCTGGGACCTTGTGGTTTTGAGGCAGGTGGTGGAAACACTGAACTTAATCACCAGCCCCAATTGTCAAATCATTTTAACCTTGTGACTCTGTATTTCTTTATGTACTGGAAGGGATTTCCTGGTTCTCTTTCAACTCCAGCATTCTGCTGCTTTGAAGGCTCTCTTCACTTCTCAGCTGCTTAAGGTTGGTATAGCACTTACAAAATGCCAAGTCTGTAAAGTAACTGACTGGACTGAAAAACAATCAGATGGGCACTTAACTCCTGGAAGAGAAAATGATGTACACCAACTGGAGCTGGTGAATAATCTCTTGTAATTTTAAATTCCTAGAACAAGCACTGACCTTTTATGTATGCAACTCCTAGGTTAGTGATATGAGCTCACAATGCCAGAAGACATTTGGTGTCCTGACATATTCTTATCGAATAAGTGCATGTGTGCACAAGTAGGCATATGCATGTTTAAAGAAGAGTGTACAAGATTATAGAAAAAAGAATACAAGTAATGCCTTAGATCTTTAGCCCCAAGTGCCCAGGGAAAGAGAGAAAATAAAATGTGCATGTAAAACTCAATTTGTGTAAGATTGTATTTTCTTCTATATAACTGTGGTAGGCTAATGCAAAAACAGCCCAATTTTTCCTCTTGTGTCCCTTTGCAACATGACTCTGCAGTTCCTCCTACCAGAAGATCAAGTATGTTTCCTCTCCTCCAGACATCATGTTTAACCACCTGGCTTGCTCTGTCCAACAGAATGCAGTAGAGCTGATGCCCTGCCTTTCCAGTCCTGCTTCTAGCTTTGAACTCTGCCTGGTTGCCATGTGAACAAGCCTGGACTAGCCTGGTGAAAAATGAGGCATACAGAGCATAGATGAGTTATACCAGCTGAAGCCATGTGAGACCAGGGACCAGCCAACCTCCTGTGGCTGATTCAGCTGCTGACACACGAGTGAGCCCAGATGAGACTAGAACTCCCAGTCCAGCTCAGGCAGAACTGCTACCTGGCACAATTATGAGGAAAAATAAATGCTTACTGCTTTAAACACTCATTTTTGTGACAAAATGTATATAAAAAATTTACCATTTTAACTATTTTAAGGTATATAACTTGGTGGCATTGACTACATTTACAATTGTTCTACAACCACTATACTATCCATTTCCGGCCTCCCCAAACAGAAACTCTGTACCCACTAAAAACAAAAATTGTCTCTTCCTGCAGTCCCTGTTAGCCACTAATGTACTTTTTCTCTGTATGAATTTGCCTCATATAAGTGGAGTCATGCAATACAACAATGTTCTTTTGTGCCTGGCTTATTTCATGTACCATGTTTACAAGATCCATCCATGTTGTGACATGTATAAGATTTTCATTTCTTTTAAAGACCAAATGTAGTCTGTTGCGCCCCCCCAAACACATACACACACACACACACACACACACACACACACACACATTTTGTTTACTGATGCATTTGTTTATAGGAATTTGGATTGTTTCCACTTTTTGGCTACTGTGAACAATGCTGCTGTGAACGCTACCACATGAGCATGTGTTCAAGTTCATGCTTTCTATCTCTTCAGGCACACACTGAGAATCATGTAGGAAGTCTAAATTCAAACTTTCAAGGGACCTCTAAGTTTTCCACCGTAGCTGCCCTATGTGACATTCCCATTGGCAGTCCAAGAGGATTCTAGTTTCTCCACATCCTTGAGACATTTAATATTTTATATCAACTTTTTCTTCTTTAGAAGAATTTATTTCTCTTTATTTTATATTGTTCCTGTCTTCCTACATGGAAAATAGGGAGGCATGATGGCTAGATGAACAATAGCCTCTTCATGATCATAAAAGTAAAAGCTACCCATGCATACACACACGGTTGTTGAGACAGGAAGATTAAAAGAACTTGGAGCTTGATGACAATATGAAGCCCCCCAATACCATGAATGGCTTATTGCTAGACTCCATTGTGGGTGAAAGATAATGTGAAAGGTTTTTTTTTAACTAGCAGAAAAATATAATACTTATTAATACATCCATTCAATTTGCTAAACTCGATTTCTATTTGCTCTTAATACTCAATCTAGACATTGCTTTCTATAGTTGGAAAATCTTTTCCTTCTTTGAATTGACATAATGGTTGATTCCTGGAATTCATTTATCAATTAATTCTGTCCTACAAGGTGGCAACTTTCATTTTACTCTGGAACTGTTATTTCAAAATTTTGTTCACTTTATTTTCATATTACCCATGTAACTAAAGGCAGTAGAGTTGTATTACATAACTTACATACATAAGTGGGCTAAAGAATGGCTTTTCATATTTCTTCCTAATTCATAGCAAATAATAGCCAAAATATTTTATTAAGATATATCCACTATATAAATCTGAGGTTGATAACTAAGTGCTCTGTCTAGTATTATTCTCTCCAATAGTTCTTTTTGCTGAGTCCTCTTCTGCAGTCTATGCTCCCAATTCGAAACTATACTACAAAGCCACTGTGATAAAAACAGCATGGTACTGGCAAAGAAACAGACCTGAGGATCAGTGGAATAGATTGGAAGATACAGAAACAACTCCAGATGTACTCAGCTACCTCATCTTTGACAAAGGAGCCAACCATCCTCACTGGAGGCAAGATAGCCTCTTTAATAAATGCTGTTGGAAAAACTGGATTTCAACTTGCCAAAGATTAAAACTAGACTCTTATCTTTCACCATGCACTAAATTAAAATCCAAGTGGATTAAAGATCTAAATATTAAAAAAGAGTCACTAAATTTGCTGGAAGATAAGTTAGGCTCAACTCTTGACTAAAGTTAGGCTACTCTTGACTACATTGGCATAGGAAAAGATTTGTGAACAAATCCTCAGTAGCTCGGAAAATAGCAGAAAGAATCAACAACTGGGATCTCATTAAAAAGCTTCTGCACTGCAAAAGAAACCACCAACAGAACTAAAAGACAACCTATAATGTGGGAAAAAATTTTTACCAGCTGCTCCTCAGACAAAGAACTATTATCTAGAATATATAAATAACTAAAAAAAAATCGGCTCCCCAAGTATAAAGACCTCATTCAAAAATGGGCATCTGAAATGAATGGACATTTCTCAGACAAAGAAGTAAAAGCAGCAAGTAAATATATGAAAAAATGTTCCACATCACTGGTCATTCGAGAGATGCAGATGAAAACAACACTGAGATTCCACCTCACCCCACAAAGAATGGCTGCCATCAAGAAATCACACAATAACAAATGTTGGCGGGGTTGTGGGGAGAATGGAATCCTTCTCCACTGTTGGTGGGAATGCAGACTGGTGCAACCACTATGGAAATCAATATGGAGACACCTCAAAGAGCTAGGACTCGAGGTTCTATTTGACCCAGCCATCCCTCTGCTGGGTATCTTTCCAAAAGAATTAAAAGAATCATATCACAGTGATATATGCACACCTAATGGCACCATTTGTAATAGTTATATCAGTTTTTAAAATATAGATATCCTGATGTGTGTGCAGTGGTATCTCACTGTGGTTTTGATATGCATTTACTCAGTGACTAGTTATGCTCATCATCCTTGCCTGTACTTGTTGGTCATCTGCATATCTGTTTTGGGAGAAATATCTATCCATGTTCTCATTTTTCTTCTAAGAGTTCTATAGTTTTTGCTCTTAGATTTACATCTTTGATCCATTTTGAATTAATTTCTATATTGTCTAAAGTAAGGATTCAGCCTCATTCTTTTGAGTGTTTTTTGAGCACTATTGTTGAAATTACTTTTTCCCAGTAAATAGTCGCTTGTGGATTTATTTCTTGAGAAATACATTTATTTCAGAACCCTTGTGTATTTATTTCTTAAGAAAGTCTAATCCCTTCGTGTTGATATCTGTCCTTATGCCAGTGCCATGCTGTTTCATTTTTATAGTAACTTTATAGTTAAATTTTGAGATTAGGAGATTTGATTCTTCCGACTTTGTTCTCCTATTACATTTTTCAAGAGTATTCTAGATGTTTGGGATCTATTGAGATTCTAGACCTTTAGAATTTTAGCTCTCTCTTCCTCCTCCCTACCCTCTTCCTTCCCATTCCTCTCCTGCTCATTCTTTTTTCGCCTCTTCCTCTTCCTCCTCTTCTTCTTCTTCCTCCTTTTCTTTTGTGATTCTGAGGGATACACACACACACACACACACACACACACACACACATACACACACACACACACACACACACACACACGCATAGATGCAAAATTTGACTGGGGGTTGAACCCAGGCCCTTTCACTGAGTTACACCCCTAGAATTAAAAAAAAAACTAATTTTGAGACACAGTTTGCTTTTTGATAGTGATTGTATCAAATCATCAAATCTGTAGATCACATTAGATAGTACTATCATCTTAACAGTAGCCTTCCAATCTACAGCAACCAGATATCTTTCTATTTATTCATAATTTCTTTAATTTCATTTAGCTGTACAGTGGGTTTGAGTGAAATGCCAGCTCTTTAGTTTCACAGTGATTTGGGACCCAGAATTATTTGTGACAATAGAGGACTGATTCATTATTGATATTAGTCAAGGCCACTGACTCTAAGCTTACTGTTTTCTCCACTGGCCAGCAAGCTCCCAGCAAAGGCTTAACCTTTCTCATTTGCAAAACAGATTGTGAAAACTTCTTCTCTCCTGTTTCCCTGGAGGGTCTTCCACAAAACTATCACTTTTGTTCTCTTACCCCCTCTACCCACTTCTCTGCATGGGACAGGTGTGTGATTTATTTTTATGGGGGAGAAAGGGCAAAGGTAAGGTCACAAGCAAAGCCCCAGGGCCATCTATTTATTTTTCTAGAGTTTGCCTGTCTGCATAGCTTCTACATTCTACTTCCATGTAGCAAGAACCCAGAACTTTCCTTCTGGAGGCCAAGAGTGTCCCACTCTGACAAAACAGGAGAGCAGGTGATGGGTGTGGCTAGATGTGATTCTCCCTGCAGCAGCCTGGGTCAATGTCAGCTTCACAGAGCTCTGTCATATGTAAGCTGAAGGATTGAGGTGGAGGTGTATGCAGTACAAGGTCTCCCTAGCAAATGAGGCTTCACAACAATAAAACTGATAAATGGCTCTCCATCTGTCCTCCTCATAGCCTAGGTACAAGGGAAAGGTGGCAAAGATTTCACATTACCATAACCCCAT